CAAAGCACGCCCTTCAGGCGAAGCTTGAAGCAGCAAGTGTAAAATGCAGGGTTAAAACATAGAACCATGAATGTCAGAGCAACGAGTTCATGTGTTTTTTCTGTGGTGAAAGAGACTGAGATCTGGAGAAGGTGAGAGATTACTTAAGGTCGGAGGACTAGTTACTGTCACACCCGGGACAACAATACTCAATAGGCTTCCTCACAGCAGTGGTGCTGATCTGCCAGGCTTTTTATTATGAAAAAAAGAAATGGGTCTGTATCCACAAAGCAAGAAATCATATGTGTATGCCCACTCTTATTTTTGAGGCATTGATTTATATTGTTATAATGAAGACAAGTAGACATGTGTGGGGGAGATTGGCAGTAGAATACACCTTTCCTGCCATCCACTCCGTCAGGGAGAAATAAAGGTTGTTTTTAGTGTAATCCCATAGGTTTGGTGACTTCAGAGTAAAATGTGGTTTTCAAAGCACTCCCAGTGAAAAGGGCCCTGAAATGATATATATTCCCTCTGCCTCTGACCACGGGACTTGGTGGGCCACGGAGGGTGGGCTGCTTCTGTGGTCTCCTTCATTGTTCTGGCCAGAGCTGAGGACAATGGACAATTCTCCACAGCAGCTATTCTGGCTCTGATGGAGACGTGTTCATGTGTTCAATAGTTCTCCCTGCGAAATCCAACTAAAATATTGGGAAAAACATAGTGGAAAGTGTCCAGGGCTCTTGACTCCTGCCAGAAGCTCAGGCCTGAGCCCTGGAGTAATAGATGCATTTCCCACTCAGTCCCGCTTCTTGGCAGTCGTGGCTGGGGCCATAGGACTCATTAGCATTATGTGCCATGTTTTCCACAGCAAACTTGCTTTTCTATTATAGTCAAAAGATTGAGTTTTTGAAATTAAATTCGTATCAGTGTAACCCTGAAATCTTTGTGTCTGATTTGACTTTGTCTCCTTTAAGAAGGAGAGAATCAGAAACTGAAATTTTAACTGAAACTTTAACAACTACAAACCACACCTGGGGTGGGTTTATTAATAACTTAAGAAATAGTTCATTGGCATTTTGGTGGGAGATTCGTGTTCTATATCATTTTTTTTTCTGCAAATCACTTCTATTTTTTAAGTGTTTTCAAATGCATACTTCCTCTGAGGAGGGTAGACACAATAGATTATTAAAAAAGATAACACTTTTTTAATCAATGAAATCCTTTGAATGTATAGACGTGCAGCTTTTACATTTTGTGCCATGCTGTGTGAAGCTGTCCGCAGCCTTTGCAGCACCAGTTTGATCCCAGCCGGCCGGCGAGAGTCCCACATGTTGCTGCAGGCCTTTCCTGTTGTGCCCGCTGCTCCCCTCAGCTGTGTATTTCGGTCATCTGCCTGTTCTGCTCCCTGCTCTGTCTTTGGTGAATCCTCTCACCCTCCCGCACCTCTGGCCTGTACCCCAGCTCTTGTATAAATAAATAAAATCTTAAAAAAAAAAAAAAGATAACAACAGGTGAACATCTGCATTTTTCCCACCTTTGGTTATTTGAGTCCTGTTTTTCAAGGAGAACTGCTGGACGGATGAACACCTCTCCATCAGAAACAAAACCGTAATCTTGGGAGAACTGCCCATTGTCCTCAATTGTGGTCCAAAATCAGCCCTCCATGTCCCTTCAACTACATGCAGCACCACTCCATCTTTCTATATTATATAAATAATTGGTTCTTGTTGTCATGACCATCCATGTACAAGTTTTTGTGTGGATGAGGTAAGGGGATGATGCTCAGAACCCAATAACCAAGCGTGGGGTTCAGAGGAGCAGCTGCATGGTTTCATTTGTGGACCCACCTGCTGCTGGCTTTGTCACTGACTCCATCACCCCTTCGTGACTATTACTGGAGCATACTAAGCACATAGATATTAGGGGTCTAGCTCAGCATTTTTTCATTCTTGTTTCTAGAGTATGAATAAATTGGAGGTTTGGATATCTGAACTCAGGTATCAGATCTGTGATTCTAAGACACAGTTACTGTATCTTAAATTTGTGACAGATTTACTGTGATTTTTTAAGCTTTCTTTATATATATATATATATATATATATATATTTACATCATTTTTCATCTTTGCACAATGTATGCATTTTCATCTTGGTTATATTCCCCCATACAATTCCCACCACCCTTATTTTGTCCCTAATCCCTCCTCCCACCCCCCCACCCCTGCCCCGTAGTGTAGTGTGTCTCTAAACTCATGCAATTTGCAGCAACATGGATGGAGCTGAAAGGGATCATGCTCAGCGAAATAAGCCAGAAAGAAAAAAGAAAAATACTGGATGGTCTCACTCGAAGCAGGAATTTAGAAAACCTAAATAAGGGACCAGGAAAAAGACTAATTACAATGAAGTAAAAATCAAAATAAACAAGCAACTATAAACCAGAGATTTACTGTGATTTTAAGAATGTCACAACTTTCTTTATTCAAGCAAAGAATGCTATGTGAGTGTGAGTTAAAAGTGTTAAATGTTACTGTTGTGAAGCATTGCCCAAGCATTCTCATTAAAGAGATTCTTTCGATGATTCTTCTCATCAGTATGAAGACTGGGATTTTCTAACTTGGACAAATCCATAATTTGTTATCCATATCTCACCCAGGAACTCAGAGCAGTCTTGGTCCCTGTGAACCACTTAGTAATCAGCCACTTGCAATTCAAAATCAACAGCTCTTTAGGGGCAGACTCAGAACAGGAAACAATCACAATGGCTTGTTGATTTGTGTTGCTGCCTCAAACTGCAAGACTTTAGCAATTAGCCACCTTTGGGGGCATTTCCACAACTAGATCACGATCCATTAAAAGTGGAAATCAGGTATTCTAAAAGGAACCATGTTTGGATACCAGATTTCCTAACACTGGCCCAATCTATCTATCAACAGAATTTATTTCATCTACTATGAATCCGATCATTTTGGTACCGCCTCTGCCAATACCCTCCCTGACCCTGACCACACGGTCCTCACCACCCTCTCTCCTCTGAGTCCTGCCTTTGTGGCCTCCTGAACTATTCTCACCACCATTATAAACACATCTAGAGCCCTACATCCTTCACGAGGGCTGTGTACAATGCTGGGCAACACTTTGGTGCTCTTTTGTTGGGGCCATGTCTTATTTCCACAAGTTTTACCCCTCAATGGTCACAAAAAACTATGATCAATTCAGTGGGAGTTTTGGTACAAGACATTCCTGTACATAAGGAGGGACTGTCTGAGAGCAGAAACGTCTACCAGCAAAATTGGCTGCTCCAAGAAAGCATGCATTCTCCAACTGGAACTGATCAAACAAAACTGCACAATCACCTGGCAGTGATGCTGTACATGGAGAACTGGAAAGTTCTGAAAGGCACTTAGACTAGTTGAACTCTAAGACCCTTTCTATGCAGATCTCTCCTTCTGTGCCTACCAAAGAGTACTCTGAATGGCTACCAGTGCAAAGGATAAAATCACAGAGTTGGAGAAACGGGATCTCTAAGCCTAAGTAATAGTGACTAGTCTCTTACAAAAATCAACATTCTCCATGCTGTTCTAAAAAAAGCAAGTGTTAACTAGTTGTGTTTGTTATTTACTTTAAATCCAGAATCCCCAGTAAGTGTTGAGCCATGGCAAGAGGGGCTGGCATGTCCAGCTGCAGAGAACTGTGATGGGACTTTGGAGGATGATGGCATGTAGAGGACAGGAAGCTCAATGGGCAGGGAGCAGAGACCAGAAGGCAGGAAGGGTATCTGGGAGCTGGGAGAGAGAAGTGAAAGGATCTTGGAGATGCTTAATGATGTGCGGCTGGTGTGGGTGGTACCTGGGGGTGGGTCACCAGGATGAGGGGAGTGTCTCCTAGTGTTTGCACAGAGACTAAGGGACAGCGAATGAAGTGGGAGGCAGCAGGAGAATAGGAGACTCATCAGACCTGCCTACCCACTTGTTAAGTCCATGGATGCTTCCACCTAGAAAATACCGATGATTCACGAGATAATGGTTTTCCTTATCTTCCCCTGCATTCTCTTTCCATCCTCCACCCTCCCTCCCTCCTGTCCCCCTCATTTCTTCCTTCCTACCTAAATATTTCTTTCTGTACTTCCACTCCCCTGCTTCATGGATAAATTGAATCACAAAATGATGGAATCTGTGCATCTCTTCTTGAAAAAGCAGAGGTCCTGTTGCCATGGGGCTCCCTGCGGTTTCCCATTAGGAGAATTATTATAAAGACATGTGCACGAGAAGAACAGATGAAAGAACTCATCAAAATGAATGTGTAATTACATTTATTTTAATAACATTCTCTTCTAATCAGTGGAAAATGTTTGCATTACAAAAATTTGACATTCAAAATAATTGGCTTAATATATGCTAGGTTTCTTTTTAAAATAATATTGAATTACCATTGATTTATATGCTATATAAATTTCAGGGTACACCTTCACCTCTCTCTGTGTATGTTTTTCACCTCACCCACCTCCAAACTTCTAGGGACATTTCCATGACCAGATAGGCCCTGACTCTCTCCCCAACCTCCTTTTCCTCCTCTGGGCTTCACTCAGTTTTTCAGAGTGGTTTTTAAATTTTTTTTTTAAAGATTTATTTATTTATACAAGGACCGGGGTACAGGCCAGATGCGCGGGAGGGTGAGAGGATTCACCAGAGACAGAGCGGGGAACAGAACAGGCAGACTGACGAAATACACTGCTGAGGGGAGCAGTGGGCGAGACAGGAGAGGTCTGCCGCACCATGTGGGATTCTCACCAGCCGGCCAGGATCGAACCCATGCTGCAGAGGCTGTGGACAGCTTCACAGCGCAGCGCTCAACCGCCTGCACCACCAGGGAGGCCCTAGAGTGGTTTTTAAAGTTTGCTTGCTTTGGTTATTTACAGTCCACATATGAAAAAAAGTATCCTTAAATGTTTTTTGTTTTCTTATTTATTTTGTTGAGATAGTCACGTCAAGTTCCATCCAAAATTTTATCTTCTTTTTACAGTGAGTAGTGTCCCAGAACGTCTGCACCACGACTTCTTTATCCTGCCACCCACCAGCGGACATCTAGGTTGGTTCCAGTATTGACTATCGTGAATAAGGCTGCTGTGACCCTCCGACTGCCTGTATCTTTTTTTAATCAATGTTTACATATTCTTCAGATAAATACCTGGGAGAGAGATCGCAGAGGGCACACCTCTGCAGAGGGCATTTCTATTTTGGGATTTTTAAGGAGTTTCCATGCCATTTTCCATAGAGTTTAGTGATCTGGGGATGACCAGCCTATTAATGTGTTGCCATTGGTTGTTGCATTTATACTTTAGTGCTTTTTCATGTTGTCGAGCACATGCCTCAGTTCCTCAGGAGCCCACTTAAGCAAGTCTCCCATACTCTGCATCTTCAGTCATTAGTATTCCCTCCACAAGTCTTGTTAGGACACCCATCACACCATTTTAGTGCTGTCGTTAGTAATACATTTTCCCCCGAGGTTCTTTTCCTTTTCCTTCTATTATGTTCTGTTCTGGTTCCAAATGTGAATTTGCCAGAGAGCTGCCAAAAAAAAAAAGTCAGCAGGGTCAAGTGATTTAGTTATCTGATGGCCAATTTCCATATTTTTATTTCAAGTATTTGCATTTTTATATCAGTACACAAATCTTTCTTTGTGGGAATTTATATACCAAATCCAGATTTGGATAAATGACTAGGGATGCATTACTCATAAAATGAAAGAACATTCTGGTTTGATAGAATGAAACTGTTACATTTAGATTCTTACAATTTAAGGAAGTCAAGGCTCATTATTTCATTTACTTGTTAATTTATTAAAACCCCTTGGTGTGCTAGCTGGAAAGCTTGAACAGATTAATTGCTAGCACATGACCAAGGTGTACCCAGGGACCTCAAAATATTAAGAGGTGCATGGTCTAAGAGGAGTCTGCCATCTGTTTTACAAAGGCAAAGGAAGCAGACTCTTATTGTGGTAGATATACAGTAGAATTAGAATGCATAGATAGAGAAGAAAGGAGATAAGTTTTCCAATAAAACCACCAAAATTACCCATCCCCTCATGGGCAAATGCCCAAACAGGGTTAGCCCAAAGCAGGGGCCACTGGGGCACAAAAGCTTGCCAAGTTTAAGGTACCTTTTGGTAGGGGAGTACAGAAGGGATTTAGGTGGGCCTTAAGAGCTGGACAGAAGGTGACACCACATCAAAATAATGGCTGCAATTGTCTGCCTCCCCATTTATCTCTCACTTCCTGGACTCCTACATGTCTGTCCTCTACATGTCTCCTTCAAGTCTCCCCAAGCCCCTGGATGCAAGTCAAAAGCAGAGAAGCAAGTTCCCTAAGCCAGCCTGCTGTGTTATATGGTCCACTCAGCTCAACCCCTAGTTCCCAGGAGCTCTCTTGCTCAGTAAGCCTAGTTCATGGCATACTGAGACTTGCAATCCAAGATGGCTGCGTGTAAGTGGGGGCGGGGAAATGGCACATCCCCTTCAGAGAGGTGTATAATCATCCATGAGTTATTTAACATACAAGGCTGCAGAATTTTATTTTGAAAGATGCATTAAGAATAGTATGCAACTCCATAATATTTTAATGTTTTCATGAATGACATATTTTTTTAACCTGTGATCAAATCTGGTAAATTTGTTAATACATTCTGTAAACAACAGCATCAAAATTATAGTATGAAAAAATTGTATATTTTCCCTGAACCTCTGTTAGTTTTGTGTGTGTGCATGGTTCAGTAAAAGGTGATGACATTTGCCTTCATAAAACTCAAGAGACCCCTCCTTGGATCCACCGCCAGGTAACACCCACACACCACTCAGAGAGACCTTAAGTCATAAATCTCCAGTAAAAAGCCTAGGATCACGGAAAAAATGGAAGAACAGGTGAGGCTTCTTTTTAAATTCTAAGCTAGGGAGAAGGGGACGAAGAGAAGAACAAATATCTATTGAATACTTATTACTAATAGTAATTTTCATGCCTGTTTTATTTATCTGTGTAACTTTTGCAAAGTTGGTACTGTATTACCATTTCCATGAAGAAACTGAAGCTCTGACCTATCAAGTAAATCTCCTAGATTACTCAGCTGGTGAATGACAATGGGGCACTGGAACCCAGGTCTCTCTGACCCAAAAGTCAATTTCAATCCTCTACCTCCTCAGTCTGAAAATAGTGCATTCCTGTAATACCTTTCATAATCCAAAATGGGTAAAGTGAAGAAGCTGTTACCATTGATTTATAAAATTTTTGAGCATTGCCAGACCCCAAAATAACCTACCAAATCACAACAAATAACATATGAAGCCTCTCATATCACGTTCACATATAGGAAATGCCTGGTTGGTGCACAGCTTGTGTAAAGCAGTTCCTAGGGCAGGAGCATGGGGGCCCCTCTCCTGGCTCAGCCTCCAGAAAGGCTGCTGCAAAACCATCACTCAAAATGGTTTGTGCTTTTTGCTTTGTCCTAAAAGTGGAAATCCATTTCGGATTTCATTGTTAGTGAAAACTTGTCCTAACGTATAAATTTTATAAAAGCAAAATGGTGTGATATGAACGTTCATATTACTTTCAGGGGGGTATCTGCAGAGGAAGACCTATCAGGAGCCCGCTCTTGATGTCATCTGCCTGATGATTTGAAAACCTTGGAGCACAGCAGTAGGTAGAAATCCTCTGTTTCCTTGGCCCATCATTTGTCCCTATTGTTTTTCTCATTCAACCACCCACAGACCTGCCAGGGCTGCCTGCTGGATGGAGGCTTAGTTGGCTCCAGCTAATTCTTATTCCTCTTCCTACCCTTGTCGTGCCCTGTCTGGCTTTGACATTGCTGCAGTCTCCCCCACACTCTGTCTAGAATTCATGCCTCCTATTCCACCCTCATCCCAAAGACTCATTTGATAACAAGTTTCCCTAAAGTTTCTGGGATAAAGAAGCATAGGAAATTGGACTCAAACAACCCCTTGAATAGCCTAGTACCCCTGGCAGCTTTCTTCCTGCATGCAAGAACTTTTCATCCTGTGGGTATAAGGCAATGTCATAGGAATGGCTGCCCACTTCCAGAATTAAATAATTATCTTCTCTATCAGAAGTGATATCTAGTCTAATTTCAATATGGTACTGTCACAAAGTTCAGAAAAAACTGAAGTAAAGCCAATGTGTCACCCAAGTGCTAATTAATAAAACTTTATTGTGCCCCCACCAAAAAGACAATATGTAAACCTGGGACAAACCAAAGTATGGAATGAGATTCAGGGCCACATTGTTATGCAGGAACTTACAGTGTGGGAAGGCAGTCTTAAATAGGGAATGGTTTGTTCAGAGGTTACTTTATAATCAATCTGGGGAGTTTTGCCTATGATTTCCAAAGATACAAACATGAAATGAGCCAAATTGGTTTAGTCGAGAAAAATAAGCTAAATTCAGTTTTGTTTGCATGATTAAACTACTTTCATTTGCTCAAGGAATTTTAACAGAACATACACACAAGGCTTGGTGATGCCTCACTCTTACATAGTCCACAATTAATTTGTCAACATAGACTGTGCGATGTACATGTGGGCCTGCCTTGCCTTACCTTCTACAAAGAGTTAACCACAGGAATGACCTAATCAGGTTTTTGTGATATTTGGTTAACAAGTCAGGAATCCCCATTCCAGAAGCAGCTAAGGCAAGAGCTTCAAGTACTGTTAGTGGATGCACAGCGAAGGACTCCTAAGACAGTCAGGGGCCGTGAGGAATACCTTCCACGAAACACGAGGCATATACTCAGTGGAGACTCCACAGACGCTCCTGGTGTGGTGTGAGGGGAGGCTAAGAATGCAGCAAACCCTGTCGCCTATCACTGCCGGACAGTGCACGGGCTCAGTTCCCTGACTTAACTGAGGACTTTTCCATTTAGTCTCCCTGCAGAGTTAGGTGAGTCCATCACCAGAATAGTGTTGTATCTATTCTGGAAATGTTCTTGCAAATATCTTGAAGGGTTGCTTCTAGAGGGAGAGGTAGGACTTTGCTGAGTTTGTGGGTACAGGGGTACATATGCTTTTGTGTGGAGAGCTCATATGTGTTTGTAGTTGTTTGGGAGCCTTTGGTGGATTTTTACAGGCCTTTAATGCTCAATCAGGGGACAGACCAGCTTTCTCTCTCTCTGTATGTCTCTAGCTCTCGCCTCTCTCTGTGGTCATCATACCGCCTCAGAGTGACACCTTAGCCCCTCACCCTTGGCACAGGCATCCCTATTTACATATATGCATGCCCCATGCCCTCTGTCCCAGATGCCCATAATTACAGGTGCAAGATCACAGGTGCCAGTCATAAAATGGTGGGAGGGCAGAAAAAGCCTGATTTTTAACTTATTGACCCTGCAGTAGCATTCACAAGTAGCGCAATTTGGCAAGTCACCCAACCCTTCTGAATCTGTTCTTCATCCAAAAGTGTGGGGATAATAATGACCACCTGATGAACATCGACTAAGCGAATACGCACATGGTTTTTAGATTGAGTAGATGTTCAAAAAAGCTTTCCTTCCTTCTCCTTTTAAAGTCTTGTGCAGAAATTCCATAGGAATCAGAATGTTAGGATGTGTTGTTATCAGTTCTTCCAGATACCAGTCCTATTCTGCTGCTTTTTCGCACACCCCAGAAATGTCATTGCAAGAAGGAGCAGTGGAATTAAATCTCACATGCGGGGGTGTGCTATTGTTACAACATGAAGCAAAATAACAAATGTACAGCCAAAATAGCCGTGAAAATCTATCAATTCATCCATACAGAAAGGACAATATTCTTGTGTTTGTGAACATAGCCCTGACCATAAAGTGTACTTAGAGATGCAAAAATGTGTAATGTGATATATAGCATACAATTCCTTAAAGGGATTACATTTAAAAATTAAATCAGTCTAGAATTTTATGTAATTTCTAACTTGTTGGCTCTTTGTATTCTGCTCATTGCCTATGATTTTATCAGTTCCCATAATTTGGCATTAATGGTTCAATTTCTTCCTTGAACGAAATCATCCACACCTACTCACCTGAGAACCTAGACAAAATCTTCCACTTCTTTGTCACAGGTCATGAAACTTCTAAAGTCAAACATTCTTTTCAGTTTTCTGCAAC